ATGTAAAAAATAGCAGTATCAAGACATTATTAATAATAACATAATATCTATTTCTTACAAGCAAGTGTGATATTGATTGACAGTGAATAACTATAGAGCAAACTTTAAAAATACAGTATTTATTATGAATGTGACTTACAAGTAATTATTTAAAGGGTATATTTTGTCCTTCTTTACAGTATTGAAGTTCTCTGGAGTTGGACATGCTCATTAATGGCAAAATGAAACTCTCAATTTAAAAGTTCTGTATGATTATGTTTTAAATAAAGAAGTTATTGCGAATAGCATTTAAAACATATGTACAGGAATCAGACAGCACATCTTTTGAACAGTTACACTGACATTGTTTTTTTTTCAGGCATTTGATTTGGGAATAAACAAACATAAAGGAGAATTTAGGCACCTATATTTGATGATGATGATCAGCTGATGCCCCGCTGAGGAGTTAGGAAACAGCTGACGCATACACCTGATCTGAGGAAACTGAAAATTTATAAATTTATTTTCCACAATCTCTGTATAGCTCATAATACAAGAGAACAGCATTCAAGAAGTCAGTACGCTGAGGAAATGTATGTCTAAGACTGGGAATTAGGAATGGTCAGAACAAAGATTTTGTATGTCAATAGACTTAATTGTACATTTGTGATTCAGATTAAATTTCTACAGTGAGGCTGTGATTCACAATTAAAGACCAGTTCTAAGATTAAATGTAAATAGCTTCTGTGGACCTGAATAAGTAGCTGAGGCATTAAGAATGCTGGGGAAAGAAAACAAGAAATACTTGCTTTTACATAGCCCATTAAATGGAGCATCACCCAAGAGAGTAGGAGATTTCATGGAGGAATGCAAAATTCATTGTGTCAGAGAGATGAGTATTGAAAGATTTCCCTGAAAGAAGTGGAATACTGAAGTCTTGTCCTACCACAGGAACCTGCCTCTGCTTTCTGTGTTCCTACAGAGACTAATGGATACATTATAACCATAAAGATATAATGTATAAAAAAAGCTTTAAGAGAGGTACCAGTTTATCCTTTTCCTTCTCCTGGATTATTTTCCTGTGTTAACATTTTTCACTACATGTGGAAAAGTAGAGAGGAAGAATAATGGAAGGAAGTGGCCATGGATAGTAGAGAGCAAATGCTTTCAACCAGGTAGTAAGTGGGAGAACCAGTGCAATATTCCCTGAATGCAGAAAAGCAGTAAATGTAGAAAAAGGTATTTTATAGTCTGCCTTCTCAGAACATAGCTTGGACAACCCACTGACAGCAGTTCCACAGTTTTATGACACGTGGATGATGCCCAGTTATTAGTCTTGGTCTGAATTCAGTCTGTAGGCAGGTTTGGTGCACTAGGGAGAGTGATAAAGAAAAATGGTAGGAGGTAGTCAGTGGAAGGAAGCAGCCAAAAGTGAATCCATAGGTACATCAGCAAATATGTATGCACCAATCCAAAGAGACAGAGCAAGACCCCAATGCAAGGCTAAATTATTTCAGAGCTCAAATAAACTGAACTAACAAGTAAGCAGTATTGCTTAGAAACTACATGAACTGGCTAAAGATAGGAATTAAGCATAAAATAGCAAATTTTGAGGATGCAAACTGAAGAGGCAGGGTTCAAAATCCAGAATGAGAACCAACAACTCAGTAGACATTACAAGGCAGTTTACACCCTTCAAAATATGCTTATGTAGCTCTAGGTTGGAGGCATCCAGCTGGTCATGAGGCATAGGAGGTACAAACCAGAATTTGTGTCCTATGTACATAGCATCTAGGTACTGCCTGGGGAATGACTGTCCTCTCTAGCCTTCTGTCTGCAGGCAGACTATGATTTGTTAGGTGGTCACACATTCAACAGTTTGGATAAACAGAATCCAAATGTTTTCTTGGCAGCTTCAACTGTTTCAGTTCTAACCACACCAAACTCCTCTGTGGGCTTCACTACACTGAAGAGTAACAGTGAGGATGAAAGAAACTGTGGATGTTCACTATTCCCTTTGTAAAATATATCTTCTAGGATAAAAGAAATCTTTGCAGTCAGTGTAGAAACCTGCCAAGGAGGTCAAGGAATAGAATTCAAAATCATCCAAAAACCTGGTTTTGCTATTTATAGCTGGGGAGAGGAGACAATGGTTTAGTCATCAAAATACAGTCTCATTAAGGAACGATTTGTTAAAAATTCCATATGGGAAACGTTAAGTTTTTCATTCATCCACTTGATTTTGCATACTTTCCCTTGGGAAATGTCATAACTATTATGCCATCACCTTATAATTTTGTCATTTTGCTTCTCTTAGTTTTTTTGTTTTGTTTTCATCTTTCTATTCTCTGGTTTAGATTTAAGCTTACTCTTCCTTTTTTTAAATTAAATTTATCACTAAACTTTATTAATTTAATATGCAGACATATAACTTCTTTTGATTACTTCCCCCTGAAACTGATACCTTACTGGGCATCAGCCAAGGTTGCTGAACATCATACATCTAAGTTTATAGACTCAAAACTTTTACTCTGTAAACATTTTTCTTTTTTTTCTTTTTTTTTTTTTTTTAAACCAGTAAGTCATCCACTACTATACAACTCAAGTGGAACACCCAATCTTAGTAAAATATGAAAGCAATCTCCTGTTGCTAGAACAGGCTGCTTCTATTTCGGTTGCTATGGAGCTTTACAAGTAATCAAAATGCAGACATGAGCTATGACACACCACACCTCACATGTTCCATTGATAGAGACTAGGGACCCCAAGTCAGTGAAACATGTATACAGGGATGTCATGTTCCCATATAGACAAACCCTAACCTTCAAACAAGAATTAAAGTTAACCTTAAAAAGTAGTTGCATTGAATTTTCATACTATGGGCAATATACTTTTATGCTTGTAAGGGAAATTTAATATGACTTCAGTAAAAGCAGTCCCAACAGTGCTTACAGTGTTTCTTCTTACTGAGATTTAGTTGCAGAAGATCAAATATTGCAGAAGAACAAATGGTGCAAGCATACATAATGATACGCTTTTATGTTATTCATATGATTAGATGCAAATTTTCAAAGTTATTTCAGCACTTCCTTATGTTCTTTATGTAACAGCTAGTTTCTACTGAAGTTTTCTCTTTTTCTCAGAAAGTTAAAGATTTTTGTGGCACTTGTGAATACATAGGTAGGTGTATATTTTTCCATTTTCTTTCCTTTTGTTGCATCTGTTGTATTTAATATTTTTCTTTGACTTTTTGCTTAGAAATTTAAGCCAAAAGATTGGTAGTAATATTATATATTGAAGCATGTAAATGCTAAGTATAACATAATTGATATCTATTACTTCTGTATAGATATTTTATTGAAATTAAACCGAAAATATGGGTAAAGGCTAAACGCAATATGAACACAGGGAGGTTATGCATAATTTTAAATTAAAAAATTGGCTCCTAAGGAGTGGTTTTGCAGTATGTCAAGAAGGAATAATTGCATTAGTCCTGAACATGGGCAATATATTTTTATATATAAATCACACTTTTATATATAAATCACAGTAAAAAAAAAAAATAATCTTTGAATGATTCTTTTCTTCACTGTATGTTTTTCATAAATCTCATGTTATCAACTTGTGAATTATTTGAAAACACTGACTAACAATTTAGGAATAGTAATTGTACAGCAAATTAGATCTTTCTCTAAGGTTTTTGGTAGAGATTTAAAAATATAATCAAAACTATTTAAGATGGGAAAAACCTAAACAAAGAAAAATAATTAAGAATCAAGAGCAGTTATTTTGTAGTAATAGCAATGCTTTTAATTGACCATTTCCCTAATAGAGCATATCTCTATTTTAATTATATGTAGCAACTCTTTCTGACATCCATGCTACATTTGTCTTGCATTTTTTATTTCTAGACTTCCTTTTCTCCAAGTATTTAATGCCAGTCAAGAAAGGAAATTGAAAAGGAGTTAGGCTGTGGCAAAATAATTGATGTCCCTTTAGGTTTGCCCCATGAGGATGCTCACATAATAGCGCAAATCCCCTTGATTTAGGTCTCACAGTTTAACTTGTCAATATGTAATTATGGTTCCAAAACAAAACAGATTACTTCTCAGTTTTAGTGTGGTTTCAACCATGCAGAATGTAGAAGAAACACCCAAGGCTGGTAAAAGGGATTGTCCCATTAGTATTTTTTTTATATAATGACCCATGGGGACTGTGCCTATACTTGTATCAGTTCAACAATCTGAAACAAGAAACCTTTTCAGATCCCCTAGTTAAACTAAAAGAATTGGAACATTACATTTGACTACCACTAATAAATTTACAAAACAATAGCATATTTTTTACATATTTACTGTTTATCTTTCTTTAACAGTTCTTGGAAATATCATCTCAGGCAGACTGGCTAAATGACTCTCTACAGATGACATTTTTGTCACATCAAAGTCTTTTCTGTTACAGATTGTAATTGATTTTTTTTTTAATATTTTTATGAAAGCTTAACATTAGTATGGATTATCAGTAGCAGTGCAATTTCCCTCACATCATAAACGGGATCAGTTAAGGTAACACCTCTTCTATTAATATATTTTTAGCAGCTCTGCAAACAACATGGAAAATGTTCATGCTTCCTCAATTCTTATTGCTCTATCAGCCATTCATTCTCACCTCCTGTTTTACAGCTGCAGCTCTTTAATCCCAGGAAAGACAACTTTTTAAATTATTATACTTAATGAAATTGTTAAGCGTTCCTGTTTACTGTACTTTGATAGATTACATGAGTCGGAGGGCCTTCTATTAAACCAGTCTATTTTAAAAACCAGTAACCACAGTGGTGAAAGGCAACTACATATATACTTTTTTTCTATGCAATATCTATTGATGTAATTACTATTGATTCATTTTAATCCATCTGGAGAGCCTAGTGTCTCCAGTGTGATTGTCAATGGGACTGTAATCCCTCCTCCAGTCTCTTCCAACTGAATGAGGAATCCAAGAGCTTCTGATAGGAGGAAAATTCCCACTACTACCCACTGCCTAATTTGAATACTAATGACAAGCATCAGTCATACACTTCAAAAATCAACAATGTATATAATTAAAATTACCTTCAAAGAAGTTACTTTATATCTGTGTCATTGGCATTGCTGAGACTGAGTCATGTGTTGTCTTCAGGCAGCTTGAGAAGCAAAAGCTTCAGCATGCTCAAGGAAGGTCTGTCAGAAGGAGTATATTGTAAATGGAATTCTGTCAGGCATACCCAACTCTATTTTGACCTTCTGACCTGCTGTGGTGTGTTGACCCTGGTTGGACACCAGGAACCACCAAAGCCACTCTATCACACCCCTTCCTTAGTTGGACAGGGGAGAGAAGATATAACAAAAGGCTCATGGGTTGAGATAAGGACAGGGAGAGTTCCTTCAGCAATTAATGTCATGGGCAAAACAGACTTGACTTGGGGAAAAAAATAATTTAATTTATTGCCAATCAAATCAGAGTACAGTAATGGGAAAATAAAAATAAATCTTAAAACACCCTCCTCCTCACCCCTCCTTTCTTCCCAGGTACAACTTTACTCCTTATTTTCTCTACCTTCTCCCCACCAGTTACACAGAGGGACAGGGAACAGGGGTTGCACTCAGTTCATCATACTTTGACTCTGCCACTTCTTCCTCCTTAGGGGAAAGACTCCTCACACTCTTTCCCTGCTCTAGTGTGGAGTGTCTCCCACAGGAGACAGTCCTCCATGAACTTCTCCAACATAGGTCCCTCCCACAAGGTGAAGTCCTTCAGGAGCAGACTGCTCCGGTATGTGTTCCTTGTGGGGTCACAAGTCCTGCACCAGTGTGGGCATCTCTCTCCATGAGGCCACAGGTCCTGCCAGGAGCCTGCTCCAGTGCAGGGTTCCCATGGGGTCACAGCCTGATTTGGGCACATCCACCTGTTCCAGCATGGGCTCCTCCCTGGGCTGCAGGTGGAGACCTGCTCCCCCGTTACCCCCCATGGCTGCAGGGGCACAGCTGCCTCACCATGGGCCGCACCAGGGCTGCAGGGGAATCTCTGCTCCGGTGCCTGGAGCACCTCCTGCCCCTCCTTCTTCACTGACCTTGGTGTCTGCAGAGTTCTCACTCCTCACTCCAACTGACATTGCACAGGTTTTTTCCCCTTCTTAAATATGTTATCCCAGAAGCACTACCACCATTGCTGATGGGTTCGGCCTTGGCCAGCAGTGGGTCTGTCTTGGAGCCGGCTGGCATTGGCTCTACTGGACATGGGGGAAGCTTCCAGCAGCTTCTCACAGAAGCCACCACTGTAGCCCTCCTGCTACCAAAACCTTGCCATGCAACCCCAATACACAAACCTTCATTAAAAAAGCGCAAACCGTTACCTTCTAGCTCCATAAATTCACATGAATAACTGCTCAAGTGTTCATGGTTTTAATTTCCATGGTTTATTTTACCTGAAAGTTTCACAGTTTTTACTACCCTACAAATTGCTGTGATATGCAAATGAGCATAGGATAATTTCAGGCCTGCTGCCACTAATATTAAACAGTAATAACATATAAATCACCTAAAACATGCATTAAATAACAGACATGAAAAGCATCTGTGCTACATTTTAATGGAATTAATCTTTATGAAGGCCAAAAAATTATGTGGTGAATACTGACTTTTAAATAATTGCTTTTATTTATGGACAGAATTGTTTTTATATATAAGTAAATATATTAGAACCAGGTCCAAAGTTTTTCTAGTGACTTTCTACTAATTAGGAGACTATTGCAAGTAATTCAGTTTAACTGGATATTACTGTGTTCTTTGCTTGAATGGAAAAACTTTTTTTAAATCGATATTTCATAAGTAATTATTTTTTTAATATTGTTTTAAAGTTGTTGCATTTTTCCTTGTGCATACAACACACTAGTTTTCATTTATACAAATAAAATTATGTATGCACTAAAGCCAGAAGAATTTGGATAGTCAAGGAAACAGGAAGGAAAATATCCTTTTTAAAATACAGGTATCAAAATAGGTTGGTAAATGTGAATTTTTTACACAAATGCTTAAGTATAATAGACGATGTAAAGTAAACACCGTATTGGGTTTGGTTTCCTTGGTAATAGCTTTATTACTGCAGCATATCAAAACATGTAGTTCAGTTACTTGGTAGCTATGAAACTTGCTAGAAAGCGCATGATAGTAAGCCTTCAGATATAAATTGTAAGTTCACTCTACCTCCTTCCCAAGTTCTTTAAAAATACTGCATTTTTGTTTATCACTCATACATTTTCTTTAAGTTCCCTACCTCCCATTTCCTTGCTTTTTTGAAAGAGATTACATATTCTAATATATTAAAAATGGGGGGTGGGTGGTGGTGGTGGTGTGTTAATTATTTTTTTATTACATAGGAAGAGCTTCATTAAGGGGACTTGGAGAAAAATCGACAGTTGGAATTAAGGTTTATTCCCTTAACTGTCATCAGCTCTACTGTTTGGTTGTTATTATAATCTTTAAGCAAACTACATCTTGACAATGACCTCAAATACAATGTTAATACTAACAAATTTTAAAATCTGGTATTACATTGAATAGGACCATATTTCATGGAAATTGATATTATATTCAGGTGGTCATACAAGGGAAATTTTCAGATTCTGGGAAGAAAATATTACTTACCAGAGTTTTCATTTGAAATTTTCAATCTTTTCAAAGAGGGAATAAGTATTGTTATTCAAATAACAGTGTAATTACAATATGGATATTTATTTAAAATTTTTTATAATCTTTTATTGAGAAATAAACTCATGAGAAATACATATTTCAATGGAATTCTGGTTTTAAATATGGATTCTGGAAATACTCTTAAAAGTTTATGTTATATTTCATTGGATTGGATTCCTTTAAAATTCTTTATTTTTGACCAGAAAGCTATCAGACCTTTTCAGACTTTTTTTTTTTTTTTTTTTTTTTTTAAATAAAGCATTTACTTTTACCTCCATCATCCCCTGAGTGCTTTTCTTCTCAGGATTTTTACATTGTCTTGCTAGTGATCTCCACCAATATCACAAAATCCCAAAATATATCACAAATATCACAAATCCCAAGATGATCACTTTCTGAAGTTTGTATTAAACTGTGTTTTCAGATCATTTCTTCTACTGTCTTCTTTCTAAAATAAAATAATTGGTCATGTCATTACAACGCAAATGTATTTTGATTAAGTCACTGAGTTTCAAGTGTTCCATAATTAATATGTCAGTGTACTCAAATAGTAGTTTAAATCTTTGTGTTCTTGAGGTGTGGTAAAAATGCAAAGGAGGTATGCATCATTGGTAAAATAAACCCTAATAAACTGTGGTATAATCCCATCTTTTACTTTCTGTACAGTTCCTGTCTTGAGGCACCAATATATATTAAATGCCTACTTTGTTTAAGAAATCTAGTAATGTGCACTGCAGTTAATTTATTTGGGGACAATTACTAACAGAGAATTAGAAGAGAACATTACTACTCCTGTCCTCTTGCTGGGGGCACACAAAGTGAATGTGAGTGACAGCATGCTTAGTGGTGAGAGGTTTCAGTCTATGCTCAGAACCCAGAGGGTGCAGAATGGTCACAGAGAAACACAACTGCTAAGTAACTGGCCCCGTCAGTGTGTATGTAACACAAATGCCTCATGAGACTGCTTCAGTGAAGGTGATTTGAGAGTAATATGCAAATCATTATAAAGTTATATTAGTTCCAAGTGCTCTTGGTTGGCACTGCTTTTGGGGGCTTTTTTTTGAGGAAACACTCGTACTTTTGCAATAAAATGCCTGATCTTATGTATCTGTCCTGTGTATCTGGAATTGTCTTTTTTCTCTAAGACATCTAGAAGTCAAGTGTTTGAACCAGCCAGAAATTTGATGCCTCTGAGAGTATGGAAATCTAGATAGTCTGTTTGAACAACATATAACTTTATTTTGCTTTCAATACTATAATTTACATGGCAACTTTTACATTAGGTAATAGGAGTTGCTTTTCTACTGCCTTCAGGTGTTTTCTGTGCAATTGTCTTATTGACAGATTTCTCTGTAATCCCTTAAACAAAATTAAAATCGACCTGTAAACTGAAACAAGTGTTAAGTACTCAATTCACCCCTCACTATCAGCATTTTTTTTCTCCCCTTCCTCAATCAGAATGAAAATATTCCTTCCTAAAAACTTCAGTGAAATTATAGAATCCTTCAGTGTTAGACTGTAAAGATAGGTTAGGTTATAACTTGGTATCTCCTTTGGTAAGACCTACCCTAATATTTAATTCTGTGGGAGAGAAAGAGACCTGTTGGTTTGCAGCACTGAAATAAGCTTCTGCTTCTATCATAGCTGCAATATGTAAAATTCATCAATTACAACATTATTGTCTCCACTGCCAACCTGTAACTTCTGTTAAGTACAGCCTGAATTCTCTTAGAAATCTTCTCCTCACATGAATACTGTAGCCCATGATCAAACTGCCATGTATTCTTCTCACAGAGAAATTAGACTGTCTTAAATCTCTCATTTTAAGAGCAGCATTAAACTGTTGCTTCATTCCTTTTTTTTTTTTTTTTTTTGCTTTTTCCTTTTTCCCCCCTTCACTTTTTTTTTCAGTTTTTCAGCACTATTTTGGAAGCGAGGATTCCAAAGCCAGATAGAGCTTTCCCGTAACACTCTGCTTATATCTATGCTAGGCCCTCTGTGCTCCCTGATTAACCTCTGTATATCCATATTGGTACTGTGTTAAAAAAGCTAGAATGAGAGAAACATCCAGGGAAGCTGATTCAATACTGGACACTGCTGTGCAAGCTCTGGAAAGTGAAGAGATGGACCTAGACTGCAGAAAGATTCACAAAGATTAAATTGGTACAGTTATTTCTGCTTTGCAAAGAAATAGTCTCTCAAGAGAATACAACATTTTGTGGCATCCAAGCTTCATGAATTTGAAGGTGGTTGAGCAATTCAGTCCTAGATAGCTTGCCATGTGGAGATGGTGATCTAGCCTAAAGACAAAACTCAGAAATACAGGCTATTTAAAGTTCTTTTATTTCTCTGAGAAATTTGAGGTAACAGGATAATACTTTGCCTAAAGATGCAAGATGAAGTTTCTTAATTTTTCTTTTAGCCACAATTCAAACAAACAGTTAAAACCATTTCCTGACTGCTGCCTTTGTTATCAGAGTAGAACTGTGGCGTTAAAGTTCTAACAAATATTCTCAAAATTGATTCATGTATTTTTTATTTTTTTTTCATAATTAATTACAAGGAATAGGATTTTCTTTCAATACACACCACATGTTTATTGGTGGGTGGCATATTCTAGTTGTATATAGAACTATATAAAATTATGGTCACCTACATTTTAGTGAATATTAGCTTTTAGATCAATGATTATTTCAAACGCAGTGAATTTTCTGACATATCCAAGGCAGAACTTCATTAGTGAATAACTTGTTGTTGTTGTTCAGATAATTAACTTATGAAATATTAGCCCATGCAATGGTAGAATAAATGCTTGACTAAAAGCACATTTTTTATATAATCTCTGAGAATTATCATTATGTAATAATATATCTAATGACTTTCATGATTTAAAATGATAGAGTAAATTATAAGAAAATGACTACTTAATGAAATCCAGATGGAAGCTTTTGGTCTCATTGGGATTTTCTCCTATTCCCTCTGCTACCAAGCCATTCTAGCAATTTCAGTTTACAAAATATATTAAGTAATAAGGTGATCTTAATTCAGTAAACCACCTACAAAGACCTAATTTAATCCAGAATTAAAGGTCTTTTAATATTTTATGCTTTGTTTTGTCTTCAGAAAAAAATAAAGTTGGGGTTTTAAATATTATGTAAAATAGTTTTTAAACTTATCTGCAGATTCCAAATACTCATTTTCTTGGTGTAAAATCCTACCAGATTTTTATGTTTTGGTGTGGCTTTTGTGCACTGTCAGCCTCTCAGTTTCTGGTACAGATAGAAATGTAATGATATCCTGAACAGAACAAGTATTAGTTCTGGCAAGGGCTTTCACTGAGGTGCCTGTGATTTGTATCCAGTTAGCACTCAGCCTCAAATTTTGGATTAGAGAACTTTTCCTTGGAAAAATAATCTTTTGTTTCTTTCTCCCCTTTCTAGTCAGCACTTCTTAGTATTCTTTTAAATAAATAATAATAATAAAAAATATCCAGGTAGGCACAAAATTCCTCTTATGAATACCCACTGCATTTTGATACCAGTATTGATACTTTAGTTAGGGATTAGTAGCATCAAACTAACAAAACTACATTCCATGGTGGAAAAACTTACAATGCTTAGTTCACCACATCAAGATGAACACAGGAAAAAAGGCTTTCTGTACAGAAAAAAACAAAACCCTCAGGTGGTGGCCTCTCTTACTCATAGAGTCAAAAGAAGGATTTAAAGACGAATTGGTCATATTTGTTGCCATCTGTAAGTACTTTTGTATTCTCAAGTACAGGAATGCATCATATTTTTAAATATATAGCATCATTTTTTTTTGTGTGGTATCAGAATTAAGATGGTATTTCAGTGAAGCTATGGACAACTAATGATGAAAGCAAAGACAAATGGTTTTGTGTGGTTTGGTTGGGCCTTTTTACTTTTTCTTTTTAAGACGTTATGTTTTATGTTATTGTGTCTGGTTGCAGTGGATTGAGCAAGTAATAAAAGGAAGTTACATCCTGTTTGATAGCATTATTATTTTCTGTATTTCAAAAAGCCAATAAGTTTCCAAGTCCTTTGTCCTGTCTTCCTTCTAGTACTACCTAGAACAAGCAGTGGAGAAATTAAAACACCAAGAAAAAAAAAAAAAAATCCTTAGAAAGCTTTATTAAAAACTTCCAGCAAGATTCACCTCCCCTTGTCATCAGTCCCTTATGTTTTTTTTGGCAAAGCATTCCTATCAATCCGATACAGATTGTATTCCTTTCACCATAGAAAATTTATGCTCCTTAAGAAAACTTTTCTAGAATACCTGAAACAAAGTTTCACATGGGTTTGAAATATACTTCGTTACAGCACCCTATAGCCCCCAAAGAGTCAATGGCAAACAGTATTAATGACATGGGACAGTTTGTTATGAAAGACAGAAAAGATTAATGATGAAAACAGTGTTTCAAGCTTATGCAGAGAACTGTGGCAGCTCCAGAGGGCAATGGCTTGTCAGAACCTCTGTTCCTCTGCTTTCAGTCACACTGGGTTGAGAAAACAGTTTCAGATAGTTCCATATGGGGTACTGAGAGTGGAGGAATATTGCACTGTATTCTGAATAATTACATAGTCCTCTATGGTTATAAACAGCTTCACTTTCTAAAAAGACCACTTATAAGGAACTGAAGGAAGAAATGCTGCAAACATTCATGGAAACAGAAAACCTCAGGGACAAGCTGTGGCTTTTGGATTAGTCTAAGTAATGTCACCCAAGGAAGCGGGAGTGTATCGAAGGATAAATCCCCCCATTCCCTTGCAGTCACCTTGTCAAACTCTTTAGATAAGCCTCAAAGGTGGGACATGGACTGAACTAAACCAAATGTTTATCACTGGTTCCATCATGTAGCCATTTGTGACACTAATGTGCAAATCAGACACTAAGCATGCGTTGCTAATGACTTGCTAATGACTAATGCTCCTTCGCCACTGAAGTGGTAACAAGAACTGATAAGAGGTGATAATTTCTGGGATGACTGATAGGATCCCTGGGAACAGAGGAAAAACACCAACTACCACCAACTGGACTGGAATCCATGCTCCACCTTTTTCCTCATCTCTCCTGGAAATGAATTTGTGGAATACCTGCCCCTCCTAGACTAGTAGCTAATAAAATGAACTTAAAAGGGCAACAGAAATTTTGCTGTGTGTGCACCCACCATTCAGGATTACCAGACCTGAGACAACATTGGATCCAGCGGTGGTGATCTGGATTTCTTTGACTCTCTTTCTCTCTTTCCCTTCCCTTTCCTTTCTTTTCTTTCTCATAGATTTATAAGAGACCACATTCCTTAGTATCCTTTTCCAAGTTTAAATTGTTCTCTACTGCAAGTAAAACATTTTAACTGGTGTTTAGTGTCATTTCACCTTAATTTAATCCGAGGGGATCACAGAACCATTGTGATTCTCTGGGCTTCCAGTCTGGGTCATGACACCGCTTAAATGATATATTAGCTTAAACAAACCGATGTAAAGCCCATTACTTATATGTATTGATAAACCCATTACAGAAAACTATTCAACAGCATTGGTTATTTTTTTCTCTGTCTCTCAGTCATATTAGAATTGTCATTGTGAATCCTTATAGGAGCAGCTTCTCTATTTTGATCTTAAAGACTCATTACTTTTTTTCTTCTATCAAATTAAACTATTTCGTGTTCTAATTTATTCCTGTTTGATGGTATATTGTACTGAGTGAATATATACAAATCTGCTGTTCTAGAGAAATTAAGCATTTCATGCATACTTACAGATAGACAGATAGATATATATAGACAGACAGACCTAAAACATTAATGGAACCTTACCAAAGATTTGAATTTGCTTCAGAGGAATCTAGATTTCTATTACCATAAAGATGGTGAGAATGTGTAGCAGCAATAAGGCTATCAAATAGCTATTTTTCTAATACCTTTCATTTCCAATACTCTTATTTTTATGTTACCTTTATATTAGTTACTTGGAAATAACTTGAGCACCAACATTTGGGATCTTTGATATATTTAGATAGTTTGCTAATTCTGCTGGCTGCCTGACTAGTTACAGAAAAAAACAAAAATCTTGGCCAATCTACTTGGATGTTTGGTCTGAAAACTTAAGTCTAGTATGAAGCTGAATAAAAAGAAAAGATTTACTTACATCAGTACTTATTTAGGCTGTTATGATAAAAATATGTAGCTGCATAAGGGAATGTCATACAAAAAGTTGTTTTGGGATGTAGGGTTTGGATTTTTTTTCCCGGTTTTGGTAATGAAAATTTTTCTCTATGTAAAATCTCTCCTGCCCTGCATGGAAAATAAAAATGGTTTTAATAACATAACCCGGCAGTAAAATAACTGTTCCTGTACCTGTTTTAACTCATGTTTGAGCTGAATGCAGTTCAGAAACATAATTAGTAAGAAAGAACAGACTCTTTCTTGTGAGTTTCATTATGTTTTTTGGCTTATTCTACTAAAATTTCTCTGTGAAGACCCTTGTGACTGAAACAGGGCGAGACACTCAAGGGTATGAGCCTTTCCTACTTCTCTCATTGTAAGCATTAGTCTGATAGCAGCATACAATAGTTGGTTTGTTTATTTAAATGAATAATTTTAAAACATGGCCTTAAACTGAGTAGACTATATGTTCATCCAACATTCGGATATAGATGCACTTTTTGTTGTGGGAATAATTTCATCGTAGTGGATGGACTATTTTTTTTTCATCCATGTAAAAACTATATCCTTCATTTATTTCAGGATGGGGCACTCAAGGGGTTAACTAAACCTCGTTTCTGTGGTGAGAAAAATAATTGGTATTGATTAGCAGTTGGTGCAACATTGCTGGAAGGGTTATTAAAGCCCTAAAGTACAGTACAAAATGATACTGAAAGCATCATGTACTCCCTAGACTGTCCTACACTAACCGTTCCTGTGTTTGAGATGTCCTCCTGACTTTGCTTATGATTCTCAGGAGCTTTGTTATACTTAGTGATTTCAAATTCTAAAGAACATTTAATTAGTTAAATGGGGGCTAGGGTGAAGGGGAATTACCCAAATGTAGAGGCTGCTGTCTTTCTCCTCAAACAAAACTTGAGAGCTATTTCATTAAGAAAGAAATCATTAAAGAATTGGATCTTATAGCCATGTCTTTTATGCAGCTTCACTTTATGTGATAACAAAGTGATAGCAAGGGACTGGAAAGTACATGTTTCTTTCTTTCCTTGTTGTTGTTTAACCCCAGCCGTCAGCTCAGCCCCACACAGCCACTTGCTCACTCCCCAACAGTGCCATGGGGGAGCATTGGAAGAGTAAATGTGAGAAAACTAGTGGGTTGAGATAAAGACAGTTTAGTAAGTAAAGCCAAAATGGCACATGCAAGCAAAACAAAACAAGGAATTCATTCACCCCTTCCAATTGACAGGCAGGTGTTCAGCCATCTCCAGAAAAGCAGGGCTTCATCACATGTAACAGTTAATTGGGAATACAAACACCATCACTTCAAATGTCCCCCTTCCTTCTTCCCCCAGCTTTATGTGCTGATCATGACATCATATGACATGGAATATCCCTTTGGTCAGTTGGGGTCAGCTGTCCCAGCTGTGCCCCCTCCCAGCTTCTTGTGCACCCCCAGCCTACTCACTGGTGAGGTGGGGTGAGCAGCAGAAAAGGCCTTGACTGTGTGTAAGCACTTCTCAGCAAGAACTAAAACATCCCTATATTATCAACACTGTTTCCAGCACAAATCCAAAACATAGCCTTATACTAGATACTATGAAGAAAATTAACTCTATCCCATCCAAAAGCAGCACAGTTGTGCAGCTATTTTATATTCTCAGTCAATGTATCCTTACAGTGAACCAAGAATACACTGGACTTTGCAGAAGTGATATCCCAGATAATCTAATCAGATTTGTCACTTATATTTTAAGGAAATTGCTTGTCAATAAATTATTTTAAAATTATATTAAATATAAAAGTAGCTCAAGGAAAATGTGTTAAAATTAGAACGGAAGTTACATATCATAAGCTTAAATCTCTTTTCACTTAGATTGATGCTAATCCTTTTTTTTCTGTATATCAAACTGAATATACTCATCATGACAGTTGCTGACTTTTTCAACAAAAATAAATGCAGTTCAGTAAACATGTCAAGCACAGTTAACTGCTTTAGGGCCTTATTTAAACATTAGGTAGTGATTTAGAACAGTGTGGTTTTACTCTGTCTTGTGCCTGGGTCTGACTCAAGAGATGTCTCTTCTGCACTGCCAGGTGATTGTGACAGGTCAAGGAGCAGTGGAGGGTGAAACGGGGACACAGTTGAGGGTGACATTGCATGGTCCACGGAGAGGTCCCAAAGGAAGGTTCCAATCCCAATGGCTTCTACACTTAGAACACCTTTGTTCAGAAAATTTGCAGTTTCTAAAAGATAAACTGCAATTTAACTGAAAGGCTTAGTGTATTCTTTTTATTTTATTTCAAGTTTTCTGGTAGTAAACCACTGTAATCTCCTAGCAGTATGATTGTTCCAACCTCAGTAAGTTGTTTCCAGGACTTATCACAACCAACTGCTATAATGGACTCTTCTAGCAGAAGTTGAGCAAGCAAAGAAATACTGTGGCAAAGCTCCACATTTTTCTTTTGGTATTTTTCTTAACTTCAGTGTATTATATCACCCAGTCTGCATAAAGTGATTGGGATTAGAAAGATCTGGTCCAACATCTACATTTTTACAAGTAAATACAAACATAGTAATAGAATGTATACTATTTATGTCCATATATATATATATATATATATAGTTGCTATTAGTAAAAATAGTACCTTTTTCTCAATAGTATAAAACTGCATATCTATTGTATAGTATTGATGCTAATAAAATTTTCTTAAATCTTTTGTTGTAAAGAAATAAAGTGGATCTATCATAACAGCCTTTTTGCTTAACCTGAATGAATTCTTATACAGATTAAAACCTGTAACTATATATTTAGAAGTTACAGGGTAGAACACTAACTCTTACAGAAAAAATGAATGTTATTGCATAATGCAGTACATCAGAGAATAGCTAAGTAATTGAATTTCTTCTTGACAGATATATTGGGAGATACTTGACTGTCTACAGTAACACACTACCAGATTACCTATATTAACTAGTCCACCTGCCCAAAAATTTTAATGGCCAATCTACAATAAAAAGCTGTATTATCTTGAATTGAATCCTTCCAAGTTAGCCTTCCATGATTTGGAGAAAATGAAACATCAGCTGTCCATCATGAAACAGAGGGCTCCACAGACACAGAAAGTCAAGTGTTTGGTGGTTTCATGAGGCCACACTTGAGTTTAAGTTTCTGTATAAAGGTAATACTTATTTTCAAAAGCTTACTCCAAAATAATACTGTGGTTTCTGATTTGGTAAGTGAGACAGTGCTTATCCTGTCCTTTGAAGCTATTACTATTGACTATTTAGTGTTTCTTTTTTTGCAAACACACTTTTGCCTGGTTTGCAATATTTTCATTATCATGATAGTATTTTCTTTCAATTTTAGGGTAAAACATGATGCAGCATATGCTATGATTGCTGTATATTCACAGTCCATTGTACCTAATGTATGAGTAATGCACATAGGAATCTTTTGAAAATATTGGTTTATGTCTACTTTCCTATGTCCCCTCTCCAACTCTACTACCTAATACTTATTGCAGCTTAATTTTCCAGGTATTCCCAGAGTTCCTTCTATTTTAAAAATAAACCCGATTACTATACTTACAGGTTATCTAAATTTACATTCATTGATGAAAGAAACTGCTGTAAAATTTTGAAAGAACTTGGCAGTAACTTGAACAACAGAGTTGCCCACTTCACATTATATGGTGACAAATTACACTGAGTACTGAGGCAAAGTACTTTGAAAACATCTGCTAAACAAATACACAGGTAATGACAAACTAATCAAATGCTTTTGTGGTTGACTGTCATCCAGCTTTACTGAACAGACAAGCTGTCAAATCAAGATAGTCATTGTTAGGAGTTACTCAGGAAAGACTCGTGAAAGAGGTTCATTTGAATCTGTTTCAAGTAAAATAATAACTTTTCTACCAATTGTTTTATCTGAAAAACACATAAATAGAAATGCATCAATCCTGAATTCAGGTATTTTATTGCCATGAAAATAGTTCTGTGAAATTCTTTGAGAAAACTTCAGTCTTCAATCCCGATGTTGAACAGTTCACACAGAACCTTTACTTAAGAAGAATCTGCCATATTAGTGTATTTATAAAACTTCTCATCTGTGTCCATTCCTTAGTGAATTATAGTTTTCAGGTCATTCGTACCTGTGGTCCACTTGGAGTTATGTGAAGAGCAGTAGTTTATTTTGCATTACAGTAGAGAATTTAACAGTCTACAAATACATGCTAATAGATATGCCTGTTCTGGTCAATATAATTATTAGGATAATGTACTGCCTAACCCAAGACCTATAGCAGGGGTATGCATAGTGTCCTCACAAAAGGGTATAAAACACTGTCTTGTCAATGTGTGTGTCCTGTGGCAAATGTCTTTGAACCCTTAAAGGTGAGAGGATTATACGCACAACATAAAACCAGGAGGAAATACTGAACATAAGATACTGCACCTTACTGATTTGCATGAAATAAAGGTATTTATTACACTTTTGTTTGGAACTTCTTTACACTTTTCCTCTTATAAAGTGAGCTGCCCAAATCCAGCTTCTTAACAGTAATAAAAGTATCATATTGAAATGGAATCCCAATGAACTGTGTTTATTACAGCTGACAGAATTTTTCAAGATTCAATAATTTAATTTTAAAATAGAAAAAATAAACCCAGACAAAATACATATATTTTTCCTTTTTTTTTTTGTACCACTTTTTGTCTTTATCTTATCCATCAGTAATGTTTCTTTGGATTCCTAGTTTTCTGCTTTCCTTTTCTCAAGTGTCTTTGATTTTAGTGATAGTTATTTGACACTTGAATGAAAGGAGAGAAATATGTCTTTTCCATGATTGAGTTTAGTTATTTAGAAAAATGTAGCCACCTCACTAATCAGTTGAAATGTAAATTTGAAGACTTGTACCCATAGTGTTATGAATTTACTACTAAACTCCTCTGTAGTCTGTCACTTTTCTGCTCTAGGCTTATGTTTCTCCTCAACATTTCTGCCTGATTTTTCCAGTTCAAATGTAAATATAACTTAGGAGCCTTTTCTTCCTTTATGGCTGCCCAGCACCTGGTTTCACTAGAACATTAATGCTCCAGTAATAAGAATAATAAACTAAAGCAAATACAAACTCGTTGTAAACAGCTCTTTATTCTAGTCTTTAAGTTTTGTTGGAAGAGAGAAGATTGTGTCTGGTGAAACTACTGTTGTTAAGGAATAAGTTGGATTGGTCTGTGTTCTTTAGCTTGACTGCTCAAATGGCTAAGTCCACAGCTGTAATGGGGATGTGCTTTATACACATTATATCTTTCTATGGTGATTTTTTTTTTTTCCTTTCTAACTTATGACTTCTGAAAGATGTGAAATGATTTAATCAAATAGATAGAAAGAAAGATAGGGAAAAAATGTGATAAGCATGAAATCCAATGTAAGATGTAATTTTCCACCAATTTGGTGTCTGCCTTCAAAAAATATAGTTGGGTAAAGGTTGGGGTTGAAGATAATTAGTTCTGTTGTCTGTGTTTGCAGGGTGAATTGGGACACAATCTGAACAAATGATGTTTCTTGTAAAACTGTATTAAAGCAATTTCTAGAAGAAAATTGTGGAAAAGCGAGACATTTTGCTATTGGTGCACAGGTCTCAGGAGTTTACAGTTGAAAATATTAATGATTTTTGCATTAGTCTTAACACTAGGAGATTAAGTCCATTTTGACCGAGAAATGAAATGGCAAATTGTGCCTTCTTAAACCATATACTAATGAGATTTGTATAGGTGTCTGTAATTTTAGTAGAGTTGTATTATTTTTTCCCCTAAGATCTGTAAGCCAGCTCTTAATCATTCTAAGACATTTGTGGAAGCATTGTGTAAGTCATTACCTGTTCCTTTTACAGTTTCTTTTAATGGAGAAACTGATCTTGTGTAGTCTCTGGCTAGTGTCACAGTGAACATAGTAAAATAAATGCGAACACAGTGATATTACCAGGACATGGATGGGTGTATTTATATCCTTGAAGTAATGCAAAAAAATGTAATGAAAAGACCTGATTTATTTTTTTTTTTAAAGGAAAGCATATTCTTCTCTGTTAATTTTAATAATTTCAGAAGCATGTGTAGGACCTTTTTCACCCTTGTCCTTATTCTTCCACCTGAAAAGTCACAGTTTCGTGTTAAAGAAATGAGTCTTAAATTAAAGACAGCCTCCAAATATTGCTGGTCTGCCTCCTGCTGCTGCCCAAGAAAGGTAGATGTGAGGCTCCACATGTGGTAGAGAAAATTCTGCATTATGTCTGGATTGGAGGAGCAGCAGTGACAGGGACAGCACCAGGACACTGAGTATTACCATTGCTATTTTACTGTTTTATGTTTGTCCTTCTGATGTTTGTCTAGTGCTGAAAGAAGATAGGGACAATTGAAGTGACGTGACCTATCACCTCATATGTGCTGTGGCGGTTGTCTCTGTGTGCTATAGACCCAATCACTCCCTGGGTAGCATAACACATAATTTTCATTGATTTTGGTAGGAGTTGAACAGAAGCAAGTAAGGGCAAAATTTGGTCTTTGGCTGCCGTGATTCTGTGCTTGCAGATTGCAAAGGCAAATAAAGGTCTGT